CACGGACGACATAACAGACCCAACACCCTACTTCCCCGATTCCGACATCAGCAGCTTGCGTACCTTCATCCGTGAACTAGTCACACAATCCATTATACCCAACATGGAGCGCAGCGTCTCGACCTGGAACGAGCAGATCCTGTCCCGACGCCGCGGTCTGTCCGGCCGCTTCATGTCTCTATCAAAACGTTGGACACCCTTTGGCGGCTCAAGAACCTCCTCATCATCCTCGACTGCATCAGGAAACTCCAACTACGACAGCCTACAGGGATTCTACCGCCCCGACGCCCCCGAAGCCATCATGCGACGGCTAGCAGATTACTGCTTTATGCTGCGCGATTGGAAACTGGCATTGAGCACTTATGATATCCTAAGGACAGACTTCCAAAACGACAAAGCATGGCGGCATTACGCTGGTGCTGCTGAAATGGCCGCTTTGTCGGCTCTCATGGCACCCACACCACTATCCTCCAAGTCCCGCGCTGAAAACATCGATGCGTGGATAGAAGCTGCATCGTACTCGTACACCGACCGCCAACGCAGCGCAGCGCCGTACTATGCTCTCCGCACCCTCGCCCTCAGCTTCGAGCTCCTGCGCCTCCGTGGCTCCTCGGCCGCAGACGACGCCGCACGCTGGGCAACCCGCATTCTGGAAACAGGTCTTGTAGGCTCGATAGGCCACGCCCTCATCACTGAACGCATCTCAGCTTGCTACGCTGTGCGCACTGGCGTGGGCATGTACAAACTAGGAAGCCGACGTCGGAAAGCAGCGCTTTGGGCTGTGCTTGCCAGCGAGAACTGGTACAGACTGGACAAGTCGCAGCAAGCGGAACGCGCCCTCGACACCGCGCTCAGGCTATACAACACCCAAGCTGAGAACGCTGATGGAGGAGCGGTTAGACTGCCATTCGAGGACATGCAGCGATTTGTGGATGAGTTGAGACAGCAGATCATGGGCTTGAGGCTGGCAAATCAGGGCTATGGTAGCGAGCATGGAGAGGGCGATGAGGAGGGTAGGCAGAGTCCGGAGGTGGAAGAGGAAGCCGAGACGTTGGATAAGAGCCCGCGGTTGCATAGGAAGAGCTTAATTGGGGTTCAGGTCCCACCTGTTGATATGGCAGGGCCGCTGAGTCCAGCGCTTGAGAGACCGAAAGGCGAGGTGGATGCCAAGGGTGAGGGCTTTGAATAGACGGTAGATATGCATAATGCTCATGACGATCAAGACGTACTCATTGATAACTTAACGCATGCTGCACATCACACACACAGATCAAGCAGCGACAAGTCAACAGCAGTAATGGTGTCTCATTTCTAGGTTCAGTCATATCCCAAGAGATGAGCCATCATCATCCATGTGGAAACGCAAGCGTAACCCCCAAACGCCAAAGCCAGTGAACAGAGCGCGGCCCAAGCACTTTGGCACCCGTCAGTCATGCTGGCATATGCAACGATGTGTAACAGACAGCCCCTGCCAATGCTCGTATGCTATGCAAAGAAGGAAAAGGAAAATAACCCGGGAATAATAAGCGCCCAATGTTATGCTGGGGTATCATCGTCAGCGTCATCAATATGAACCGTGAATCGGTGTCCGTCGTCGTAAGGCCATGATGCTACCAAGCCTACTAGGCGGTAGCAGCGGGTGTGGTCTCTGCCACAGCAACACTCTTGGGTGCTGCGGGAGCCGTCTTCTTGGGCTCTGATGGGGTTTGTGTGGAAGGTGGTGCGGGCGTAGGTGCGCGAGAGGTCGTGCAGGATGGAGTAGGGGAGGAGGTATCTGAGGTGCGAAGACCGCGGAGCTTGATGGTGAGCTTAACCTTCACGGGCTCTGGTTGAGGAATTTCAGTGTTGGACCGCTGCGACGCTGCGAATCCGTTTGATTCATCTGACGAGCTCTCGGTGCCCTCTGGTGTAGAGTCGGAGTCGAAGAGCGGCAGAGGCGAGCGGCGCTTTCGTGAGCGGCGGCGCTGGTCATCGTCGTCACCGTCGACACTAGGGCTAGGTCGCTTCTTGGAGACGACCTGGGGCACGATGTTGACGTCAGGGGGGCCGCTGTGAGGTCCGGCGATATTGCGGACGGAAGAGTAATGCTCCCAAGTCTAATTTGGACGTCAGTACTGTGCCAGCGGGATAGTCAGTGGTGGCATGACTTACGTGATAGGCAATGTGAAGTGTCTGGCGGCTGTCCTGAGCAGCCAGGTCCTCGTTCGACGTGTAGCATGTGCGAGGCGAGAAGAGGTAGGTGTAGTCAGCCTGCCAGAGGCGGACGTTGACGTTGAGGGCGGAGGCAAATGCTGAGACTTCCATGTTGTCGGCCCACTCGCCGGGTTGGCCCATCTTCTCGACGTGCTCTTCAAACTGCTGTTGCAGCTGCTCGTCGGTGTAGCATGTGGTGTCAAGGCGGTTGGCGGCAGCTGCTGCAGTCTTGCGCTTGGGGTTTCGTCGCACGGTGTTGCAGGCCATATACTGGCGGTAGAAGTCGGCGCTATCCTTCATGTGCTCTATGGTGGTGGTGCGCAGCACCTCGTGCATATCTTGGTTGCCGTAGAGCTGGTCAGACAGGGCGTTGAAGAGGCAGTTGCCTTGGGCAAAGTCAGCCTTGAACATGAGAATATGGGGTAATTAAGCTCACCATCGCCGCGGATCTGGCTGGCATACAGGGCATTGGCCTCGAGTATGGGAAATTCAGGCGAGTTGGCCCGCTGTCTTCGGGTAGCCATATTGGCAGGTGGTGATCAAGCGTGCGTGTTGGACAGGAGAAGTCGGTGTAATGCAAAGAGGAAGGCACAGGAGTGGGGTGACGGGGTCATGGATGAGGGTTGAGCTTAGGTGCGACAGTTGCTATTGTAGAGAGGGCTGGGCCGGCCACGCCAAGTTGGTGAAGGTCGTGGCCGGTGAACGTGAATGATGAATATCTTTGTGACGCGCCCGAACTCTTGAGGCTCTCGAAGGGACACGGCGACAGGGATGGCTCAGCTTGGCGGGTCGCAGGAACAACGATCTCCGCCCCGAGTCAGGACAGCTCGCGCTCAGGAGCCTGGAGAAGTACAATCAGACGTCAGCCAACCAGACACCGGGACAGCGCCTTCTTGTACTTTTCAAACGGCAGAAACTAAAGCTCCAGATGGTACGGAAAAATCTTCGGCCTACATACCTCGGAGCCTGCAATGATGTCACGGACCACAGAGCTCCCCCAGCTAGCCGATGGGGCAGGCCCGACTGTTTTTCGCGATATATCGGCGGTGAAGGGCAAAAAGCGCGTGCAAGTGGGCGAGAACCGAGTTTGCTCAATAATCTGGACAATAGCACCAAAGTGAAGAGGGCCGGGGCCAGCGTTATAATAGCTTTACAATAGCAAGCAGGCCAGTTGGTCAGTAAACAAAGCTCGCATGTGCGCACGCGTTTTGTCTCGTGTGCGGGAAGGAGCCAATAGGCGAGCCGGGGATACAAGGCATGACCCCGCCATCCTCATCAGGCTCCGCATCCACAGCGATAGCAACCTTGGAAGTCCTGTTCAGTCACCCCACGGCATATCACGGGTGCGTCAAGGCAGCCATCGCTCTGACTCTGAGCTGCCAGCATGGCCAACCAGAAGAATGTCGTCGTTGTCGGGTAAGCTCGCCTATCAATGCTGTCATGATATTTTGTGTTGCCCCTCCACGTCCCGTGGTATTAATACTCATCCTCGCCTATGACTCTACAACATGTCTAATCCGTCTTGGGTGGCAACCTCAAGACCGCACTAACACCACCCCAGAGCAGGCGTCATCGGCCTCTCAACAGCCCTCGTGCTCTCCAAGCACAAGGACCTCAGCATTACCGTCGTAGCCAAGCACATGCCCGGCGACTACGACATAGAGTATGCATCACCCTGGGCTGGAGCAAACTACTTTCCTGTTGGCAAGCCAGGCTCTAATCTGCAGAAATTCGAGAAAGCTACTTGGAGTGAGCTTGACCGAATCTGTCGTGAAGTGCCAGAAGCAGGCATCCACTACCAGGCGACGAGGGTCTATGGGCGAGAGAAAGATGCAGGCACCGCTACGGGGCAGTGGTTTGAGGAGCTGACTAAAGAAGACGCATGGTTCAAGGACGTTGTGCCGAATGTATGTAGAGCCTATCCCGACTCGGTTTCCATACACTCACCTGCGTTGCTTGCGTGAAGCCATGCTGATGCTTCTTAGTTCCGCGTGCTGTCCAAATCTGAACTCCCAGAAGGCTGTGAAAGGGGCACGGAGTTTACTTCAGTATGCATAAACACTGCTGTCTATCTTCCCTGGATCGTGGGACAGTGCGTGAAGGCCGGTGTGACCATCAAGCGCGGTATACTTTCGCATATCTCCGAAGCAGGCAGCTTCCATACCTCGGGGCATGCAAATGCCGTCGTGAACTGTACTGGTCTTCTAGCCTCCACACTCGGAGGCGTCATGGACAGTAACGTGTACCCTGGACGCGGTCAAATTGTTCTAGTGCGGAACGAGCCCGGTGTCATGGTGACAGTAAGCGGAACCGACGATGGCAGTGAAGAGGCTACCTATATCATGCAGCGCGCAGTCGGTGGTGGGACAATCCTCGGAGGCTGTCTACAACACCACTCTTGGGAATCGCAACCCGACCCCAATCTCGCACAGCGCATCATGCAACGCTCCATCGACCTGTGTCCGTCGCTAGTACCGAAGACTGGAAAGGTAACCGAGCTGAGTGTCATTAGACATGGTGTTGGTCTGCGTCCTATGAGGACTGGAGGTCCAAGGGTCGAGAGAGAGAAGATTGATGGAGTTGAGGTAGTGCACAGCTACGGACATGCTGGCTATGGGTATCAAAGCGGCTGGGGAAGTGCTTGGGAAGCAGAGAAGCAGGTCCTGGACATCTTGAATGAAGACGGGATAAAAGCGAGACTGTAAACGTGCCCACAGAGGCTTGATTTGGCCGGTCATAATGATGGATAGTAAGAGACAGCTATCGAAGGGACGGGCTATAGTAAGACTGTCCCGTCAAACTCCTACTCACCTGAACTTCCTTGATTTCTTCGACCCAACGACGTTCAAAACTGTCTTCCTTCTCCGGAGATGATCTGGTCCCAGAGGCCGTGTGTCTGCAATCTCGCCATCGTCTACCTTTTCCACGTCTTTTGGCTTTCGTTTCCAGGCACGTCGCCCGCGCGATATCTTCTCTGATCCCCACGCAGCATCGCCCATCGCGCGTACTTTAGCCCACATGTACGTTCCATGATATGCGATCATCAAGGAGAGTCCTCCAATCAGCGTCGTGGCAGGAATGGCAATGACCCAAAAGAGAGCTTGCGAGCTGCTCATGTCTCTTATATCCGTAGTGTTCATGCCAAATACGGAAGAGATGAAAGAAAGTGGAAGAAACACGATTGTCACTAGAGTAAATACTCTGATGGCTTTCGAGTTGCTTTCTTCTGAGACTTCAACGTTGTGGCGGAGCACCTCTTTGGTCTTATCGAACGATGCCCGTATTTGTTTTATTCCTGTAAGGGTTGCTCCCATGCCGACAGAATCATCGAATATGTGTGTGATGAGGGGAAATGCGATGTCTTTGTAGGCTCTGTAGCACTCTTTGGTCGCGATGCGATAGCTCCAGGGATAGATGACGTCGTAGCAATCACTGATCATGCGGCGTTGTTGAGCACATATGGAGGCTACCATCTCGAATTCCTCTTCCAAGAGGTACAGTTCTCGAAGGGCAAGCTTCGACGGCCGCCGGTTAGCTTTGTATTGCTATGTCTTGTTAGGGTGTAGTTCTCTGGCTGCCCAGGTGAGGTAAAAGGTGCACATACCATGACCGAAAGATTCTCTCTGTACAAGTCAGGTACAGATAGATTCTGCGATATTGTTCTTGACCAAAGATGGATGAGACATATGAACAAAGTAACCTCAGGAGTACTGCGGAATTTTTGCACCGCTCCCCTATGGCTGCCGGTATGCGCCATGATCATTAGCTCTTTACGCGCTGATGAAAGCGCGGTAGAAGCTGCTGAGCCAAAGTAGGAAAGCAGATTCATATGAGTTTTGAGTTCGTTCCGTGAAATAGAAGGCATCGTATCGGCTTTGTCGAGGTTGTGCATTGCTCGGACACTATACCCGCAAGTATCGATCGTCTGGAGAATCTTCTCTGCTGCTTTCACAAGCGAGAGCGGTAAGAGGTACTCGCTCGGCTTTTCGTCTCTCTCATTTGCGACACTGTTGCGAATATCAATTGCTTTAGAACGCAACGCCTCAATACGCAGTGCCAGGGCACTGAGATACTCGACGATGAGATCGTTTTTCTCCTCCACATTAGCCAGATGAGACGACATAACCCAATGAGATAGCTGTGTTCGGGAATAATCTGAAGGGTGATTCGCTTTGCTGGTGTGGTCGCGTCGCAGATGTTCGAAAGCTTCATCCGCGTTCGAGTAATACCTCGCCCGCGCACAAATGTCACACTGACCTATGGGAGAAGGCAAGACAGAAATCTTGTGTAGCTTCGCATATTCTTTGTGGGGAAGTTCACGGATTGCGTAAGTCGATTCCAATCCCAACTTCTCCCGATCTTGTAACATAGAGTTCCTGATGCTCATGAAGGCAACGATCTGCGGAGATTGTGTAAGTAGCATTTCATAGTGTGCGGCCCTCTGACGCGTTTAGAAAGATTAATTACCTTGATGATGTACCTGAGCACACCCCAGCATCTGCGCAAGAGCTGATGGTCGTAGTACTTTGGTACAAATTGGTCCATAACCTCCATAGTAGATTGGAAAATGCGTTGTGTGTGTTTGTACATCAGAGCTGTCTGCCATTGTGTGACCCTTCTCGCCGTGACATAGGTCTCACCTTCTGCATCGATTTGAACATCACCTGACATGTCGCTGTTGGCAATGCCGGTGCCCGAAACAAGTACCTCGATCAAGCCATTTGTGTCGTCCATTACAGTTAGCTCGTTGCAATCGGTGGTGCCTTTAACGACTCTGGTAGAGGCCTCGTAACAGGACACTAGTGATGCCGAGACATCTTCTAAGGAAGAATCTTCGACATCGGTGAAGGGTGCACCTGATTGATACAAGTGTACGAATGGATGCGCAGAGTCGATTGGTAATCTTGCTACATCCGTTCGCGTCCTGGTCAGCTCCTGTTCAATAGCAAAGAGAGTAAGCTGTATGTAGATACTCTCATCGTTATTCTGCTCTGTTGCGTTTTCTGTTGTTTGCCAGGCAAGAAACGGTGGAACACGAAGACCAGTATTAAGTCTTGTAAACTTGGGACTTGGAGAAACCTCTCGTGTTCGATACGTCTTGGCTGTGCGATCTTTGCCCCCCGAGCTTTTACGTGAAGCTCCACTATTCTATTGCAGTCAGCGCTGACACAGCTAAGCGTTTCGATCTGCAAGTGCTTACACGGTCAGATCGAACAGTGTCCATGGGCGGACGTTGCTCTTGCCGTTCTTGTGTTTGAGCGCGCGATCGCTCTTCCCGCTCCCTTTCGGAATGTGCGTTCAGATGACGTTCGCGTGTGTGATCAAACATGGGCACTAACTCATCTCTTGTCATATGTGGGAAGATGATCCAGTAGTTGGGATCGAGTATGTCATGCTTGAATCGGACATTGAAATGAAACAAAGTGGCCTCGTCGAGCTGACTCGTAGGTACTCTTGTATAGTTAGATAGGGGTTGGTCTTCCCCTTCCGTTGTTGTCTCATTCCCTTGTTTGACGATAGCTTCAATAAGGTCTGGAAGAAAGCCAGCTTTGGCGAGTCGACCACGAAGCTCAGGTTCCAGTTGCTTCTGAACATCGCGGTTGACCTGGTCAGTGTTTTGTTTTAAGACAGCAGCAACTTCTTCGCTTATCAGCCCTTTGAGATCTTTGACCTGTAGTCCCACGAGTGCCCTTCGGTCCCCATGGTTCTCTTCGGCTTCGAGACGTCTCTCTTCTTCTTGTGTCATTTCTAGATCATCCTGTAGCTGTGGATCTGATCCAATGAGCTCCTCCTCCTTTATGCCTTCTTCCAATGGTCTCGAGAGATCTTGCGTGGTAACGAACGACTCTGTTCGACTTTGTGGAACGACAGTTCTGGCTTTTATTCCGGGTCTCACGCCATCTTCACTGTCTGATATCGCGTTTCGTATCGCTCCTAATGTCGCCTCTTCCTCTCCAGACTCGAAATGATCTCGCTCGTGGGTTGAGTGAGATGATAACGACAACGCACTCTGAGCATCTTCCTTTGTGTATTCTCGCGTATCGTAGACATCAGCCGTAAGTGCGAAAGGGCTGGGAAGCTTTTCGTTGTCTTCTACGTCAATGCTGTTTGGTAAACAAGATTCCTTTGGACTGTGGGACGACCCGACTGGATCATAATTCGACGACGCATCACCGACTCCCTCCGCGAACGATGGAGCCTCATCAGAAGTTTTATTGCTGCCAACAACGGACCCATCCAGACTCCTGCTAATATGAACAGCGTTTTCGCTCTCATATGTAATGGCCCTGGCGACATGAAGGCCGTCATATGCGAAAGACGGCCTAATCATACGTGTTGGACGGCGGAATATGACCGGTTTCGGACCAACAATACTGTTGCTGCGATCCATGAGTAAGCTGGGGTCATTCACCATGTAGCCCTGCCTTGCTAAACTCTCACTCGGCCCAACAAAGTAACTGGCTTGGCGACCTTGCTCGGCATCGTTGCTGTATATAAATCAGCAGTAGGCCAAGAATGAATCCGTCCGGCCAGTAGTCGCTTACAGAGGTCGCCTTACGATAAGCGCCTGAGTCTCGTTATCGTCTGTGGAGTCACAATCAGAGCGCAGATCACCGTACTCAATCGTTCTTGGTTCACTACGCAAACCATCGACCGAAGAGATAGCCCGGCTCGCGAATTTCCGGCTGAGGCGCAGAACAATCATTGCAGATCGTTCGCATTTCATGACGTGTGGCCATTGATCTGCCTCCAATGCTGCTTCGTCTGACCCAACATGTATGACATAGTCTTTATTATCTCTTTCGCTGCCATCGAGACACTTACTCTCGATATTGCGACAAAGTGCGACGTATGTTGAGCACAGCTTGAGTGGGAGGTATGCGACTTGTCCGTAAAAATCGGTAACATGAACCAGACTGGGTCCGTCTGCAACAAGGTAGTTCTCAGAGATGAACTCGACACCGTCTTCGAAGAGCTCCTGAAGAGCACTTGGTCCGCAGGTGATAATCAGGTGGGACTGTACGACCATAGACCAAAATTGAGGAACTCGCAGACAGTCTCCCTTTCTCACATGCTTAAATTTTCGAAACACTTGTTCGTCATCCCGACCCTGCGCGCCTTCTTGCGGGTATCTATACTGGAACAATCCTCTATCACACCATCCGGCATCATGTCAGTGCATCGTTTCGCATATACAGCCAATGGAAGTTATACACTTACCGGGTTTCGTGTAGTGATGTATCTTTTGATGCACGAGAGGGATTGAGCGCACTGATGTCAAAGTACGGGAAAGAAACAAAGATAGCAGATATGTCAGGTTTATCGGCTCGTGCATGATCGATTCCGTCGCATCGCAGAACAGTGTCCGATCGTATATAGCTGCCGTGGGGGGTTCGCTCTTCGAATTCATCTTTTATGTGCCTCAAAAGATATCCCACGACCGGAGTAGCGTCTTCGTCATAGTCGAGCACAAAGTTGAGTGTGGCGCTCTTTTATAATTGTTAGATTGGCATCAGTAATCTTAGGGTAGAACTTGTACCTCAAACGCCTCGAAGCTTATACAGTCAGTCTGAATGTGTCTGCATACCGTCAGTAATTGCCAAGAATTGGAAGAATTGACTCACAGCCAGCGCTCAGGTGTCGCATCCTTCGTCCCAAGGATATCCCGTTCTGACCTAGTGATGATCCGAAGCCGCTGAGCTCCTCCATCAGCTGGCGGGTAGACCATTGATGCCGCGACAGCGAATTTGTGCTGATTATGCATCGAGGCCGCCTGAAAACGTGTCGTTGCTCTTCTTGCGGCCAGAACGCTTTGGTCCAATCCGTCATTGTTCAGCCTGATCTTGATGATCTTTTCATCATCGTCTGGGCTGTAGCTCAAACCATCTGCGTCTTGCGCCATGGTATCGGCTTGTTGTGGATGACAAATAATTTTCGGTGTCAGAATTGGAGTCAGAGGCGTAGGTAGACTCAGGATGGTGATAGAGGAGGGAATGCGCGTTGACACAAGCGCCCGTCTATCTGTGCCACCGAACACTAAGCGGCCCCCAGCCCCCACTTTCGCAGCCGGGTATAGCGCCCTGCAACGCCTCTACAGTACATGAGAACTGCAGGGTATAGCGCCAGAATTTGATAGGCCAATGGTTAAATGCCCATGGACATTCGCGCCACTCGTCACAGCTGGAAGACAGGGGCGATTATCGTACTCCGCGTAAGGGGCAATCAAGGACAGAGGACGTTCCAGCTTGAGCAGAAGGCTCATATCGCTTGAATAATGAACAAAACAAAACACGTTCAGGATAAGAGGCATAGAAATTGCGTTAAAGACCACGAGTCGTATGTTAATCCCAGGTAATATGCACTCAGCATGGCGCTTGAGCCGGTGTTATCGCGAAGCATGTCTTGATCTCATCTACGGCCGGCTTCAGACTCTTCGATGGTAATGTCCAGTCGTGACGCTTCAACCCTCCTTCGTGAGTCAAGTACCAGAGAGTCTCCGCTGTTGTGATGCGTACCTAGACCTCATTAACGTGAGCCAGCGGCAATAGATTGTCTTATGCATACCTTCGGGAACGGATGTAACAGCATACTCACAGCTTTGGCTAGCGTATCGCTTCTGGTCATTGGGATGACGCCTAAGCCCCGATACACATCCAGCGCGAGGTGAAGCTTTTGCATATGCGTGGACTTGAAGTGTGCTTTTTGCGTATATGAAAGAAGTGATCGGAAACTGACACGATTAGCGCATGCGCATATGGAACACCAAGAGAGAGCCCTTACTTGAAAGACGTCGACTGAAGACGCTGCATGATCTGCATGTCGAACAAGAAGGCGATGACCTCTAGTAACGGGAGCAAAACTCTATCGTTGGTGATGTTGTTCTTCAGGAGTGTCAGGACGCAGTTTGCAAAGTCAACCAAGGCAAACTGCGTAACGTCGGAAGTATCTTCGTCTTGTAGCATATCGACAAAGTCTAGCAAAGCTGCTCGTGAGTTCTGAACCACGGATTCGGAGCCCATGCCCGCGGAGCTGACAAAACCAACACAGATAGCTTCTCTGATCGCGGGGGTTTTCGCTGTTTGTAACGACATCAGTGCATTCAAGAAGTAGGTCCGAGAGGAGACCTCGTCTGTGGTTTCGCCGCCGGCTTCTCTCAGCTGGAGGACTTGAGCGGCGTTCATGCGCATCTTATCGAGCTTTTCGAGAGACAGCCGAACGATGTCGGCGTAGATATCGTACTCGCGTTCATTGCGTTTCTCGGTGAGTATTCCATTTGCCCAAGCCAAGCGCACGGTATTCAAGGCCTCGAGTCGGACGAGTGACCCGACATCTCCCCGTTCTGTAATGGTGTAGTCGTTAAGTGCAATGTGCAAGGCGCTCGCGATCTGGTCTTCTACATCGGCAGCAAGCTGAGTTGATCTAGGGTTCTTGCTTCCAAGCAAACAACGCAGAGCACGTAATGCCACCGTTCGGGCCTCGATTGCCACAGCTGATGTGCACCTGAAAGTAAGTACCTTTACGATCCGCCGCTGGAGGACATCCCTTTCAGTATCGGATGCCAGGCTTTCCAAGCTGCCATGCGCAGCTCCCAGGGCGATCGCATACCCGGAACATCGCGACCCATTGTACGATGCTTCATTTTCCAAACGCAGCAGCCATGACATCACGACGCCAAATGTGTCAGACCCCGGTAATCTAGGTAATAATGAGACTACTGCAGGAACTGCGGTAGCAAGAGCATCGAGGACTGATTCCTCATGACGCGCGAGACAAAGGTCCAATAAATTACAAACCTGTGCCACGGGTAGGTTTGAAGGCCAAAGCTTGCTGAGAGTCCCATTGGTCAGTCTCGAGATTGCTCCGATAAATGCACAAACTGATGATGCGGTGAACTGGGGTCGCAAAGCCGGCGAAGTGAATGCCTTGTCTTCAAGCTCTAGTTCTTTTGAGAACGAAGTCCAAAGGGCCATCAAGGGCGCATATGGATTGTCGGGCGCTCGTTGCACATGCATAATTACTGTCGTGTCAACGAGGGTCGCAAGCGCAGTCACCAACCCTTGACGCTCTTCCACCTCGCGAGGTCGCAATGCCGCAAGCTTACCGCGGACCTGATCAGACATCTTCTGCACTACCGCAGGAGATCGAGCCTTAGAAAGAGACCCGATGGCCTCAGCTGCAAATAGACGTGAGTCTGAATCCAACGAGCCGGTTCCTCTCCAATCTAAAAGACCACCGGATAGGGCCTCCCAGTACAGAGACTGTAATTCTCCAGCCTTGATCGCCACGTCGCACATTGCGCGCTGGCGGAGCCCGACAGCGTGGAAGTCGACTATCTGTACGAGCGGTATGCCCTCTTCTATTGTATTGGGGTGGCGACCTATAAGTTCTTGAAGCGCAGCAGATGAGCCTCTTCTGATGTTGCCTGCTGGATCGAGACAAGCAGCAGCTACCAATTCGATTGCCAGCACTTGAGGGACGTGTAATGATCTGAGGTGCTCGGAAGCCCTTATTGTCGCGGTTTCGACCGCAAGGAGGTCAGTGGTGGGGTAGCGGCGAGAGAGCGCCCAAATACCGAAGCAAGCTGCATCGCGTACGTTCGTACCAATGGACCCTCCAGTAGGCGACCGTTGCTCAAAGCCGAGGGAAAGTAGGAGAGCGTTGAGAACGTCCGCCAAATGACTGGTAGAGATTGCTTTGCGATAGAGAAGCTGAGCCAGCGTCAAAGTCAAACCGTGCCATCGGAGTGGGTTCACGCTGTTCAAATTGCGCTTGGACCCCTGCCAGTAGATGTTCTCTGTGAGCGAGCCAAGTATCGCTTCGACAACCTCGCTGGCCATCTCCGCGTTTAATTTGAGAGTGATGATGCTGAGCGCCTTGCTAGCACCGTATCTGACTGGCGTGTCACCATCCGCGAGTGCTTCAAGGAGAAATTCGATGACTTCTTCCAATACCACGGTTGAATCGAGTCCAGGAAGGGTTGACGTCGCCTGTAGGCAATGCAAAACGACATTGCGCAAGCTTTTCCCAACTAGCTTTCGAGCCACAGCTGATGACTTGACAAAAGCGAGACTCTCCTGATCCAGTATCTTTCTGCAGGATAGGTATATGGCAGCAAGGAAAGGGCCAAGCTCCTCATTCGTAGCGGAGGCCAGTAGCCCTGACAAGAATGAGAGAACTCCGAGACACTGATGTATGTCGGTCTTCTCTTCGGATATGTCTGTGAAGAAAGACAAGGACCATTGGACCATGGCATCCAGTAAACCTAGCTTTTGCATATCTGGTCGCACGCATGTCCTCACTAGGAGACTTGCAGCGGCGCTTCTTTCCTTTGTTGGGGATTGAAGCCCCGACATGCACAGAGAAATTACCCGAAGAGTGACACCTGGAAGTTCATCCGGGAGCTTCAGCCCAAGAGCTACAGGTGTTTCTGCAGAAACTTGCAACCCAGACATAGACTCCAGGGGAAAGGGCGCGAGTAGTAACTGTGAGAGCCATAAGAGCAGCACATAGCGCTCTATCCAGGGACGAGCTGTGTCCTGCAGTAGGGCATCGGTATTTTCAGATTTAACAACCCCAGTCGCTTCTAACTCGCCCAAGATCGCTTCGAGATGACGTGGTTCGTTATTGAAGAAGCCTTTGACGACCTTTTCGCCTCGGACTTTACAGAACGTATTCAAGACGGAGCATATGGCGTATGCAAGAGTCACAAATCCTGGTTTCGGTTCTTCTGTGGCGCTCGCCGATATTGCTTCGAGATAGGCGGCGACGAGTGGAGGTATGAAGGTTTTGAGGTGGGTGTCTAGAATCTGGGGGTCCTCCTGGAATGGCTCTATCTGTAAAAGGTCAGACAGCCATTGAGAACATTGATTGATAGGGTTTACCAAGCTGCATGCCTTGTACATGTCTGCTGTTCGGACATGTTGGCGGACGGGACCAAGGGCAGAGCCATGCTGCCGTTTCCGCAGTAGTCGCGGTAGCAGCCTCTCGAAGTCAGACAGGAGCGATGCAGATGCTCGCTGTAATTTCAGG